GAGGGTGAATCTCCCGTCCTGACAGGAAGTGAGGGTAAATCTCCCGTCATGACAGGAAGTGAGGGTGAACCTCCGTCAAGACAGGCAGTGAGGGTGAACCTCCCGTCATGACAGGCAGTGAGGGTGAACCTCCCGTCATGACAGGCAGTGAGGGTGAACCTCCCGTCATGACAGGCAGTGAGGGTGAACCTCCCGTCATGACAGGCAGTGAGGGTGAATCTTCCCTGTCATGATAGGAAGTGAGGGTGAATCTCCCGTCCTGACAGGAAGTGAGGGTGAATCTCCCGTCATAACAGGCAGTGAGGGTGAATCTCCCGCCATGACAGGCAGTGAGGGTGAATCTCCCGTCATGACAGGAAGTGAGGGTGAATCTCCCCTCATGACAGGCAGTGAGGGTGAATCTCCCCTCATGACAGGCAGTGAGGGTGAATCTCCCCTCATGACAGGCAGTGAGGGTGAATCTCCCATCATGACAGGAAGTGAGGGTTAATCTCCCCTATCCTGACAGGAAGTGATGTCACTCTTCTCCATTATAGAACTAAAATGAATCCATTTGGGTGGAGTTGGACTCCATCACTGCGTACATAGACTTCACCTCAGGTTCTCTCTGTGGGGTCTGACAGACAGCATGATGCAAATATCCCCTTTGTGGAAGTTTTGACCAGAACTTGGCGTGTTTCGCATCTTACATCGGATCATCACCTCAGAAAACGTTCCCTTTCCCTGCAATCAGCCATAATAGTTACCTTAAAGAGGTGTAATCACCACAAGGCACTTCAACACCAGCCCCTGCCTTCCCTCTCACACTCCTCTACATACACAGAGCTGCATTTGTTGGGATGAGTTTCCCGCTCTCGGGTCTCCTGTTGCCATGGAGATGTGCAGGCGGGACCCCCCTCGGCTTCCCAGACATCTCCGCCTGAACACACCCAGCCGCGGGCCTTCACGCCTCACCTCACACGAGCCCCGCGCTCAGCACCACGTGACCGCAACTCGGCGCTGCATGCGGGCTCCCCCCTGCCGACCATGGGAAGGAACTCACCAATGTTAGGAGGCGCCGCCATATTGGCACGGCTGGGTGTGGTAAGATGGCGCCTGGAGGCGTCTTGTGACCTTGTTGCCAGGGGAACGGGATAACAACATGTGTGAGACAACTAATTGAGAGAGACCAGAGGAGAGGAGAGCAATGGATGAATGAGAGGTCACTATACACAGAGACTGAGAGAGAGATACTTCATAGAGAGGAGCTGGGGGGAGAGACAGACAGACAGCCTCCCAGAGACAGACAGACATACAGCCTCCCAGAGACAGACAGCCTCCCAGAGACAGACACACAGCCTCCCAGAGACAGACAGACACACAGCCTCCCAGAGACAGACACACAGCCTCCCAGAGACAGACACACAGCCTCCCAGAGACAGACATACAGCCTCCCAGAGACAGACATACAGCCTCCCAGAGAGCCTCCCAGAGACAGACATACAGCCTCCCAGAGACAGACAGACACACAGCCTCCCAGAGACAGACAGACATACAGCCTCCCAGAGACATACAGCCTCCCAGAGACAGACAGACAGACATACAGCCTCCCAGAGACAGACAGACGGACATACAGCCTCCCAGAGACAGACGGACATACAGCCTCCCAGAGACAGACATACAGCCTCCCAGAGACAGACATACAGAGACACACAGCCTCCCAGAGACAGACAGACATACAGCCTCCCAGAGACAGACAGACATACAGCCTCCCAGAGACAGACAGACAGACAGAGACAGACAGACACACAGCCTCCCAGAGACAGACAGACACACAGCCTCCCAGAGACAGACAGACACACAGCCTCCCAGAGACAGACAGACACACAGCCTCCCAGAGACAGACAGACACACAGCCTCCCAGAGACAGACAGACAGCCTCCCAGAGACAGACGGACACACAGCCTCCCAGAGACAGACAGACAGCATCCCAGAGACAGACAGACTTGAGGTGTAGAGGACTGTGACTCCGGGGACACACCGTCAGATCTGGAGGTGTAGAGGACTGTGACTCCGGGGACTCACCGTCAGATCTGAAGATGTAGAGGACTGTGACTCCGGGGACACACCGTCAGATCTGGAGGTGTAGAGGACTGTGACTCCGGGGACACACCGTCAGATCTGGAGGTGTAGAGGACTGTGACTCCGGGGACACACCGTCAGATCTGGAGGTGTAGAGGACTGTGACTCCGGGGACACACCGTCAGATCTGGAGGTGTAGAGGACTGTGACTCCAGGGACACACCGTCAGATCTGGAGGTGTAGAGGACTGTGACTCCGGGAACACACCATCAGATCTGGAGGTGTAGAGGACTGTGACACACCGTCAGATCTGGAGTGTGTAGGTGTAGAGGACTGTGACTCTGGGGACACACCGTCAGATCTTGAGGTGTAGAGACCTGTGACACCGTCGGATCTGGAGGTGTAGAGGACTGTGACTCCGGGGACACACCGTCAGATCTGGAGGTGTAGAGGACTGTGACTCCAGGGACACACTGTAAGATCTGGAGGTGTACAGGATTGTGACTCCGGGGAGACACCGTCAGATCTGGAGGTGTAGAGCACTGTGACTCCGGGGACACACTGTTGGATCTGGAGGTGTAGAGGACTGTGACGCCGGGGACACACCGTCAGATCTGGAGATGTAGAGGACTGTGACTCCGGGGACACACCATCAGATCTGGAGGTGTAGAGGACTGTGACTCCGGGAACACACCGTCAGATCTGGAGGTGTAGAGGACTGTGACTCCGGGAACACACCATCAGATCTGGAGGTGTAGAGGACTGTGACTCCGGGAACACACCATCAGATCTGGAGGTGTAGAGGACTGTGACACCGTCAGATCTGGAGGTGTAGAGGATTGTGACACCGTCGGATCTGGAGGTGTAAAGGACTGTGACTCCGGGGACACACTGTTGGATCTGGAGGTGTAGAGGACTGTGACTCTGGGGACACACCGTCGGATCTGGAGGTGTAGAGGACTGTGACTCCGGGGACACACCGTCAGATCTGGAGGTGTAGAGGACTGTGACTCCGGGGACACACCGTCGGATCTGGAGGTGTAGAGGACTGTGACACCATCAGATCTGGAGGTGTAGAGGACTGTGACTCCGGGGACACACTGTCAGATCTGGAGGTGTAGAGGACTGTGACTCCAGGGACACACCATCGGATCTGGAGGTGTAGAGGACTGTGACTCCGGGGACACACTGTTGGATCTATAGATATAACATTCTGTATCTCTATTGACAGGCGATCCCAGCGAGCGCTACCCTCCTGATTGTGTTCCGCAGTCTAAACGGTGTGCAAAGTCATCCCACAGACACAAAGAGCGGCTGCGAGGCTGTCAGCCTTGTTCATGGTAAGATACAAGGACGTCTCCTGTGATCTCATCCTTGTTGCAGAGTTCTCTCTTTATATCGCTTTTTATTTGATGATAAAGTCTCATCACATGGGAGCGGATCAGCTCTTCCCTCCAGCGATTTAGTGGAGGAGTCGGGAATTCTCAGTACCATCCGTCTCCACAAGATGGTGTTGGCGATTGGAGGAATACATTAGAACATTTTGTACAGACAGTCTGAAACATAACTAAATTATGTAACACTGCAGATCTGTAGATTGTGTTAGCTGCCAGCCATGCACATGTCAGCAGGGAAATAATTACCTCACCCGAAGATCTGCAGCCCTCCATCTATTATCCATTCACGTCTCTGTGCGCCTTCACTGCGCCCGCACTTGGCGGGATCCTGGAATTATGTTATTTATGTATTCGGTTTCATAAATCTGCCGTTGCTCAGCACATTTGCAGGAAGCATACAGTTTTAATGGTCGTTGAAACTCAACCACTTCAAATGTTCAGTCTAGCTCAGTGGTTTCCAAACTGCAGCACGGGGGCCAGATGTGGCCCTTTGTTTGCTGCTGCATTGCCTGTATCCTCCCACTGATACAGGACACTACTCCTTTCCTCCCACCAACAATGGGGCATAATTATTACTACTGATGTCAACAATGAAGCCAGTATTCCCACTGATACCAATGATCCCACTGATACCAATGATGGAGCACTATTCCTCCCACTGATACCAATGATGGGGCACTATTCCTCCCACTGATACCAATGATGGAGCACTATTCCTCCCACTGACCAATGATGGGGCACTACCAATGACACCAATGATGGGGACACTCCCACTGACACCAAATGATTATTCCCTCCCACTGATACCAATGATGGGGCACTATATTCCTCCCACTGACACCAATGATGGGGCACTATTCCTCCCACTGACACCAATGATGGGGCACTATTCCTCCCACTGATACCAATGATGGGGCACTATTCTCCCACTGACACCAATGATGGGGCACTATTCCTCCCACTGACACCAATGATGGGGCACTATTCCTCCCACTGACACCAATGATGGGGCACTATTCCTCCCACTGACACCAATGATGGGGCACTATTCCTCCCACTGATACAATGATGGGGCACTATTACCTCCCACTGATACCAATGATGGGGCACTATTTCCCCCCCACTGACCCCAACAATGGGGAAACTGTTCCTCAAACTGCCACCAATGATGGAGCACTTTCCCCCCACACACACACACACACTGACACAACAATAATCCTTCATCCCAAACACCAATGATGGGGCACTCCACCAACTGCACCACCAATGACACCAATGGGGCACTATTTCCCCCCCACATTTCCCCCCTGACACAAACAATGGGAAACTATTCCTTCCGACTATTCCTCCAGCTGACACCAACTATTCCTCCCCACTGACACCAATGATGGGGCACAATGACCAATGATGGGCACTACCTCCCATTCCTACATTACTCCCACAACGATGGGGCACTATTTTCCCCCACTGACACCAACAATAGGAAACTATTCCTCCCACTGAAACCAATGCACTATTCCTCCCACCACCAATGATGGCGCACTATTCCTCCAGCTGACACCAATGATGGGGCACTATTCCTCCCACTGATACCAATGATGGGGACACTATTCCTCCCACTGACACCAATGATGGGACACTATTCCTCCCACTGACACCAATGAAGGGGCACTATTCCTCCCCACTGGGACACCAATGTTGGGGCACTATTCCTCCCACTGATACCAATGATGGGGCACTATTCCTCCCACTGACACCAATGATGGGGCACTATTCCTCCTCCCCTAATAGTAAAGATGTGTTGTTTACTCCCACTGATGCCGCAACAATTTCTGCTCCCAGTGGCCGCAGTCCAGCCCCCTGAAAGTCTGATGGACAGTCAACTGGCTCATATGTTTAGAAAGTTTGGAGACCCCTGGTCTAGCTGATAGGTATATATACAGGGCAATCAAATGGTGGGAGTTTCTTCTTTTTCCTGGAGAAAGTGCTGCTTCAGACTCGCTTCAGTGCCAGTTGTGTGTCAGATAGCCTAGGCACATGACCCTCAGTAGACAGGGGGATTGGCTGAGCTTCCTCCTGCATAGATTACAGGACACATTCCTGCTCTCAGATGTTAGAGTAAGCCCTGGTTCACACTGAATGCTCATTCACTTGAAGTACCGCAATTTCAAACACAGGTCAGTGCGATTTCACGTGTGACTTGCCGGACATCTGTGCAACTTCATGCACAGATGTCTAAGTTGCACATGAAATCACAAAAAACAGTGCAGGAAACTTTTTTCTTTCCAAATCACTGCGGCACCGCAAAGTTGGATTTGCGCCGTTTTGAATGGTTCCGTAGGCATACATAGAGTGCGACTTGTCATGAGATTTGGAAATGTCAAACCAAGTGTGAACCAGGGCTACATTACATTATAGGGGGCACAGAATGAAAACTGCTAGTGACAACCTGCCTTACATGTGTCATTTTTTTGGGGGGGGAGGGGGGTTGCCTAGAGTTCCACTTTAATGGAAAGAGAAAATTTTTGGCACTTTGGGGAAAAAGGGTCATGAGTATAGATGAGCACCAGTTAAGGTGGGTATAAACCTCTGAAATGAAAAACTAACAAAGTATATCCTTCTATAGTGTCTGCAAGGTGGTATCAAAAAGATTTGAGACTAGTTTTGTAACACGCCGACAGAAGGCTGCACGCACAGTCACAGGGTGCACCGACATTCATAAGTCAGTGTGCCAAAAGACATCATCCTGTGTACCCGCTGCTATTCTGACCACATGCATTACCACGTCTGCTAGCAACAGCAAGTTAGAACAAAGAGCAAATGTAAAATTCTGAAATCAAGCAAATCGCTGGATCCCCAATGTTGTCAAAACGGCGACCTTTTGAGCTGGATCTTCATCTTTGGGAAGAGAGCATTTTCAGGGGTTGAGCTCGTTGAAGGTCTTCTCGATCTGTCCTCATTCTTCCAGTGATGTTCTCGAAGCTCTTGAAGCATGCGTGCCATTCAAAACACCTCGAACGACTCGTTGCAGCATCGCCGTAAACTTGCCAAAACGTCTCTGTGGCAGATTTGACCAGTTTGACTCAGAATTTCACATTTTGTTCTAACTTGCTTTCCTTGATGAAATAGCAAACGTGGTAACGCATGCGGTCATAATAGCACCAGTTGCACAGCCCCCGATGTACAGAGGTTGATGTCTTTTGGCACACTGACTTAGGAAGGTTGGTGCTCCCTGTGACTGTGTGTGCAGCCGTCAGCTGTTGGTGTGTTACAAAACTAGTCCCAAAACGTTTTGATACCGCCTCGTGCTTGCAAAGTGGGATTTATGGCTGCTGTCTGCATTCTCTGCTATCAGCATGAGTCACTTCTGACACCAGGGAATCCTGCAGACAGCACTTTCCTCCCCCCCTTCCTTCCATCACACAGCAGGTGATTGACAGTCTCAAATGTGCATGTATCTATATGAAACTATGTAGAGGGGGAGCATGCCCATTCCCTCCACTCAGGTCTCATATTACACTCACCTCTGTGTTGTGAAGTGTTTGATATCAGATCCTGCCTCTGGAACTCAGAAATGCTTTGTAAATGAATGGCTCTGGAGAAGAGAGGGCTGCGGGTATACAGGTTTGTAGGAGGATTTATTTCATCTCTGTGTCCCAGTCACTTCACTGGTATAGTGAGGGTTCACAACCACTTTGGGAGATTCATAGTGTGGGTAATTGTTTTTTCATTCTATCTGTGTCCAGAGGCACTGGTCTTTTTTCTACTTTGCTTTAGAGAACCCTCAGCTAAATTGTGTGAGCAACTGGCCTCAGATAAAAAACGATAATGATAATATTGTTCACTTTTTACTGTCCTCCAGGATTACAGCAAGTGGCAGCGGATGACCGGACACAGCTGCACAGCCTACAAGACCTCAAAGGGCTCATGTGTCCAGCACCGCAGGGGTGTGATAGAGACCAATGCAAAGAGCCTGCCTCCTATAGGTAACCTATGGCAGAAAGTGAAACTGTATATGGTATATATGGCAACAAATCAGACTACAGCTGTCATTTTCCAAGCTAGAAAAGGATGAAGCATTTTCATTGGCTAATAGATGCATGCATTTTTTTTTCCCCACCCTTATGGTGTTAGGAGCTTCTGGTGGCACCGCTGCCATATCTCCTTCAAATTACCTTAACTGCCACTGCCACGACCCGACCCCCCAACCCCCCCCGGGGAAGGTTTGGTAAGGCGATTGGGTCTCACGGCCTCAAGGAGCACCACCCCCGAAAGCAGCATTTTTTGTTTTTTTTTCCCCCCATATGCTATACTCCTTTTGTTGTTGCACATTAGGGACAATATTCTGATGCAAAGGACCATGGTCACCCCAATTTGCATATTAAAACCCATATTGTTTTATGTCTTCTTTTTTTTTTTTTCCCTCCCCCCCATACTCCTTTTGTTGTTGCTGCACATTAGGAAGTATGTTCTGATCAAATTGCAAAGGATCATGGTAAACCTAATTTGCATAATCCTTTCCTTGTTCATTTTAGGGAGAGTGTTCTAAACCAATTTCAAAGGATCATGGTAAACTGAATTTGCATAATTTTCCTTGGCTCAGCCCTCAAATTCAAAAATCTGCAAATTTGTATGCATTTCCCACCCTGAAAACAGGGTGGGAAATGTGCATTTAAATTTGCATATTTTTGAATTTGCTCAGATGCCCGCTCGGTTTGCTGGATTGGACACGTACTGATCCAACGGATCACCCCTCCCACCATCTTCCGCTTCCACCAATAATGATGATTTTGGACCATGCTATTTTAACTTAGGGAGAGAATTGTATCTAATTAGCATATTTGATCTCTCCCTCTCCACTGATGGGGGGGGGGGAGATCTGTGATGTAATTGTGATGTGATGAAAAATAAAAAGTGACCCCTTAGGTACCTGGTAGGCTGGACTGGGCTACCAAACTATCGCCAAGCAGCTTGTGAGAGAAGGTGACAACAGTTGGTGCAATCATTCGCAGATGGAAAAAACACAAAACAACTGTCAGTCTCCCTAGATCCGGTGCACCATGCAAGATCTCACCTCGTGGCGTGGCAATGATCATGAGAACAGTGAGAAATCATCCCAGATCTACAGGTGAGCGGGCTTGACAATGATCTCCAGACAGCTGGGACCACAGTCACCAAGAAAACAATTGGTTATTCGCTGTGCTGGCAAGGATTGAAATCCTGCAGTGCTTGCAAGGTCCCTCTGCTCAAGAAAGTACATGTCCAGGCCCGTCAAGTTTGCCACTGAACATCTGAATGATGCAGAAGAGGACTGGTTGAAATTATTTTGTTCAGATGAATCAAGCTCTTTGGCATCAACTCAACTTGCCGTGTTTGGAGGAGGAGGAATGCTGCCTATGACCCCAAGAACACCATCCCAACTGTCAAACATGGTGGTGGAAACATTCTGCTTTGGGGGTGTTTTTCTGTTAAGGGGACAGGACAACTGCACTGCATCAAAGGGACGATGGACGAGGCAATGTGCCATCAAATCTTGGGTGAGAACCTTCTTCCCTCAGGGCATAGAAAATGGGTGGTGGATGGGTGTTCCAGCATGGCAATGACCCAAAACACACGGCCAAGGCAACAAAGGAGCTGCTCAAGAAGAAGCACATTAAGGTCCTGGAGTGGCCTAGCCAGTCTCCAGACCTTAATCTGATTGAAAATATGTGGAGGGAGCTGAAAGTTCGAGTTGCCAAACGTCAGCCACCAAACCTTAATGATTTGAAGAGGATCTGTCAAGAGTGGGCCAAAATCCCTCCTGAGATGTGTGCAAACCTGGTGGCCAACTCCAGGAAACGTCTGACCTCTGTGATTGACAACAAGGGATTTGCCACCAAGTACTAAGTCATGTTTTGTGAAGGGGATCAAATACTTATTTCCCTCATGAACATGCAAATCAGTGCATCATTTGTTAGACATTAATTGGCTTTTGAATTTTTAGTTGCTGTTCTGTCCCCAGTGTTACAATACACCGAACATTCGATTTTTAGACCAATCATTTCTTTGTGAGGGGCAAACATTCAATATCAGCCGGGGAGCAAATACTTATTTCCTTCACTGTACATATTCCATACCTGTGGGAGTACCGATGTAACTATGCAATAAAATCCATACCTGGAGTTTAGCTCATGTAGCTATTGCTTTGTTTATTCACTTCTTTATGTATTTATTAGGTTTTCTACGTATCGGAAATGCCAGCCCAAAAGTGACAAGGGGCAAACCTCCAGGCTCAACAACAGACCGGCGATTAGACAAGAGACATCATAGGACAAGAGACACGTGTAGCAGTCACGTTCTGCTGGTATGTATTACTTGTATTCCTTTAAAGTTAACCTGTAATCTGATAAATAGTTGGACTGCCATTGCTGACTTCTGAAAAAGTTGCCCAACTTTCTTGCTGACCACTCAAACAGAACACCCATAAATGGGCAGGGCCCAAAAGAAAAATAGTCCAATAGAATTTAAAATAATGAAGCTAATTTGCTGCAATAGAAAGTTTTTGTCCAGAGCAGAAAATGTGCTGAGGACCCTCTTTGTGCTGTTAAGTCAAGAGCTGTCTCGTACATTACTTCCTTAGTCTTCCAGATTGAATGACAGCTAGCATTATTCAGCCCTCTTCCTCAGGCCATCATGGGTTCACCCCTCTTCCTTTGAGCTCAGGCTGGCATGGTCTCATCCCACTTCCTCTGAGCTCAGGCCCTCATGGGTTCACCCCTCTTCCTCTGAGCTCAGGCTGGCATGGGCTCACCCCACTTCCTTTGAGCTCAGGCTTTCTTGGTTTCACCCAACTTTCTCTGAGCTCAGGCCATCATGGGCTTACCCCACTTCCTCTGAGCCTCAGGCTACCCCACTTCCTCTGAGCCTCAG